AAATTATTGGCATTGAGAACTGTGTCATAGGCAGCATGCGCATTATTGCTGCTAGCAACATCAATGTTGACATCGCCAAGAAAAATACATTTATTTGAAATTGGCGGATCCAGAGGGCGGGCATGCCCCCCTCCAAACGCATGACGATTCGTATTATCTGGATTACGCATAGCTTCTCTACGATTTACGCTCCGTATATCTTAAGCGTAGCTTGGACCCCTCAAATACATTTTGCTGGATCCGCCACTGACTCAAATCCCGCATCGTAGAATGGCATGTTGTTGCGTCAAATGGCATTACATACGATTAAATGGACCGGGTTTGTGTGTGTCTATATATCATCAAAAAATAGCACTGGAACAACAGATTCATTGCAGATATCACTGTGGAAAATTACTATTAGCTTCAGATATAATTCGGTGATAGTTAGTTAGAAAATACTAATAGAAATTGAAATGTTATGATAAACAGCGTTAATATGTATGTGATTAACATACTGACATTGATTATACCAGTTTTAGCATTCAAATACTTTCTTTTATGCAATATGATTAATTCGGTTTATTGAAATGGCATAGATAAAACTTGACATTGATAAGTTGGCGGGTAGTAAAGTGTAATTTGGTCACAAACACCTGGCATCGGAATAATATTTCCATTGTTATGTTAGGCATCTGCACCTGATAATATGTATTCATATATTTTAAGGTTGTATGTTCACGTGCCTTGTGTTACATAACAAATCATCGTTGTAGGTAGGTTATTTCGTATGACATTCTATATTATGTGCAAACGAATACTTCGAGGTAGACTGGCGCAGTCGGGCGATTAATTTGTTTTTGTAGTTTAAATAAAATTAAAAAAAATCTCGAAATGGAGGTGTCACCCCACCCGACTGGTTTATTCTGCAGGAAATTCATTGCTATTAAATATTCATGAATGCACATATTATAATGGGGTGGGCGCGGAAATAGGTGCATAATGAGGTCAGCATGGTAAAGGTCACACTGCAGACCCAACATGGTGGCACGTTGAAATTCGAGTTTGTCGTAGTCGTCGTTGTGTAAAAAAGTAACTCGTACTAGTCGTAGAATTAAACAAACCGACTGCTAATATCAGCCGTTGTCTTCTCGGTCAGAGGTCAGTAGAAGAGACGTTGTGATTGGCTTAAATGACTGTTAATTAGAACACACAAATTAATATCGATAGAGGGTCATGCAGAATAAACCAGTCGG